CCCAACTCTCTCCACATAAGAAAACAAAACTCTGAACCTCTTTCCAGAGACCCAGAAGTCGCTTTCCCTCAGGGACCTGGTATCTCCCCCTGCTTCCAATCCCATAAAACAAGGGATGGTCCTCAGCCAGCTCATCCCCAAGGTGTGTCTGTCTCCCCTGCCCTGCCTCCATCTGTCCCGCTGGCTCTCCTTCCGTGGCCAGCTATCTGTCCTCTGACTGTCTGTCCCTTGAATGTGCTTGAAGTCTCTGCCTCTCTTCTCTGGGTCTCCTTCCCTCTCTCCCTCCCTTTGGACCTGTCTCCCTTTCCCACCATCTCTGCCCTCCCTCCCCCTCCACCACCTTGCCCTAGCTTCCGTTGCTGTCTCTCCCCTCTGTCAGTGTCTGTCTTCCCACATCTGGTTCTGCAGCCACCTGAGTCCTTGAGTCACTGTGTCATGCACTGTCCCTCTCTCTCCCCGGCTCTCCCATCATCTCCCTTAGACTCTCTGCTTTCCTGTGTCTTCCCACCACCATCTTCTCGGTCCTTAATTAGTCTGACTAAAGCCACGAGAGCCCGTGTCAGGCGGAAGGAGGTGGGGAGGGGTGGACCAGTGGGGTAGTGGGGGGAGGGGAGGGGGTTCCCCCCACAACCCAAAGCTATTTACAGCCCCGGTTGCCTGAGGCTCACCCTTCTGCCTCCTTCACAGGCCTCCTCCCTAGCACTCAATAAACGGTGGGTAGGATTTTGTTTATGACTATGAAACAGTGATGCTTTCTGGAGTGTCCCTGTGTCATCCCATGGGTTCCCCAGAGCACACGACATTCCCTTTCTCTTCCATAGAGCACCTCTGTCCACCTCCAAGCTCAGGTGATTTAAGATTTGAGCATTGTTAAATCTTCACGTAAATAAACTTGCAAACCGGCACCAAAAAAAAAAAAGCAATTATTTATTACAAAAGCTAAACTTACCTAGCACTTAACAGCGTGCTAGGCATTGCTCCAAGTGCTTCTCACATCTGAACTCACTCAACGCTCACAACCACACGCACCCCATGCAATTAGTACTCCCGTTGGAGACAGAAAACCTTCACCAGGCCACCGGCAGCAACTTCTGGAAAACATGACCGCACACATGGAAGGTCCATGCTCAACCCACTGCGGGGGCGGGGGGGGAGGGTCAACAGAGGCAGGGAGATTCCAAAAAGGGCAAAGGAGAGGACACATGTCATGTGAGCAAATGCTCAGGGCCAGGCAGGCCCCAATCATGCACCTGATGCCTATTACCTCTGCATTCCTCATCACGGAAACACGAAACAGTGGCTAACCATTAGTGTGCGCTAAGTGTCATAAAGTATATGCCAGGCATAACATTATTGCTTTACAGGTATTAACTCATTGAATCCTCTAAATGACCCCTGCAGGTCAGTTTTGTAACTATCTTCATTTTACAGCAGAGAAAACTGAGGCACAGCTCTTAAGGGACAGAGTGAGGACTCAGATCCAGGCGGTCTGACTTCAGGGTTTACACATTTAACTATGAGAATGTGCTCCTTCAGAGCACGGGGAATCCCACCCCCCACCCCAACCTTAGGAAACTAAAATCTGAACCGAAGTTGAGGCACATCTGATCCCTTGATGGTGTCTGGGAAAGTTAGGGGTCTGTGGGCACTGTGACTTGGGCAGGAGTGCTCAGGCTGCTCCACAGAGGCTTAGGGCTCAGAGAGCATTCTGGAAGGGAAGGTTGGGGGTTGGCTGCTTAGAAGATAGACGGTGAGGGGGTACCACAAAGGGATTCACACTGAGGCTGTCAGATGGGTTTGTAGGCAACTGAAAAGGCCAACCGTCCAGCAGCAGGGACACTGTGTCCATGGGACTGGGGGTGGTGGCGGTCAGGGAAAGTTTAGAAGGTTCTTAGAGGTGTGGGTCTTAGAGCAAAGCAGGCACCAGTCGGGGATTTGGGCACCTGGATTCTATGCAAGGTTCGGGGTCTATAAGACACTGAGTGGATGACCCGGGTCCCCAAGAACCTCCGGAAGCCGTAAACAACTAAAAATACAGAGTAGTCAAGGTAAGTCCACAAGGGGCCCTTGGAAAGTGTAAGGCTCCAGATTCTCTTCTATTGGCAAGTTCAAACAAGTGGATCTACACGGAGGATCACACCGGATCATGATTCCGTATGTAAAGCAGCCAGTCTAGGGGACCTATGGAGACTTAAAACGGGAGCAAAATTCTATAGGCGCATGTGGTGGTCCCAAGACCCAGGATTCTAGGGGAGTGATACTGACCGATGGGGACCCCACATCTGTAAGAAGCCGAGTTACCGGGGATGGGTAGCAGGAAACTGGTAGGTCAGTAGGACCTTGTAATTTATATGGGGCATCTACACCAGCCCCAAACCCTACGTGGGACGTGGCGGGTCTACGCGGGCCCCAAATCCTACTACAAGGGACGTGGCGGGGCGCACGGCCAGGGATGATGGGGCGGACCTGCGGAGTCAGGGTCTGACGCCCGCCGGGGGCCGCGTCCCTCACCTGCTCCGGGTCGTAGGAGAATCCACCGCAGCAGCCAGAACCGAAGCCTCTGCGTGCCGGCTCCAAAGTTCCCCACCCCCGCCTCCGAGTCGCTCTAGCGCCCCAGCGTCTACCTTTGCTTCCAGCTCCACTCCTCCCGCCAGCCGCTCTAGCCTAGCTGCTGCCGGGTTCCTGCCCGGGAGACTCTACTCCTCCCGCCGGCCGCTCTAGCTCTCCACTGCGCCACGCTGGCCCGAAAGGGCCGCTCTGGCCTGCCTTGGAGGGCTGGCGTTTCCGTATCTCGATTGCCCCTGTCACTCTACTGTGCCCCGCCCCCCGCCCCCGCCCCCCGAGCCAGACTACAGAGTCGTTCCAGCTCCCCCCGCCCGGGGCTCAATCCGAGATCTCCGAGTCGCCCCTGGCCTTCAGTCTCCGGCCTGGGTTCCCCACCCTATCTTGCCTTCCTAACTCCGGAAACAGCTGAATTTCCAAGGCGGACACTAATTTTCCCGGCACCCTCACCGCCCCGGCCGCACACTTTGTGCTGGGACGTAAAGCAAAACTTCTGGGTGCCAGGGTACCTTTCCCCCTGACATGCAGTGTAACCTGGAAAAAGTAATTACTTCTTCCCGAGACTCAGTCTTCCCGCCTGTACAATGGGGGAAGATCTACAGCTCTGTCATCTACAACCCATCTCTCAGGGTATATATAATTAATGGCCCAGAAAAAGAGCTTTCCAAAAAATGCTTTCAAACGCGCTCTGCAACTTTCAGCATAACAGGGGCCTACGGCGTAGTTATTCACGTTTTTCCTTTTCGGTGGCCCTATAGCATGTGGGGTTGGAGGACGGGGCTTAAAAGCACCTGCAAGTTCAAATCACAACTCCACTCGGTCTCACGGTGTGTGGACCCTGGGACGAGTCGGTTCCGCTCTCTAAGCCTCAGTTTCCCCACCCGTACAATGGGAGTGATGATCCATCCTCCGCTGGACAGTTGCGAGGCCTTGACCCCGGCCTTGCACCCTTCATCCCCACTTACTGGGCACTCGGCAGGTGTCAGTTCTCCTTTCTTTGCTCCCCTTGACAGATGGGGAAACTGAGGCCCACGGAGGGGCGGCCGCTGGCTCTGAGGGGCGCCGAGGAGGCCCCTGCACTGCCCGCAGCGCCCCGGCCCCCTCCCTCCTCCTCCCCACTTCCCCTGGCAGCCGAGGGGCGGGAGGCCGGGCGGGGCCGGGACCGTGTACCTGGAGTCCGGCGGGGAGGTGACCGGCGGGGCGCCCGAGGTCGGGCTCGGCGATCCCGGGCCCTGCGTCCCGGCTCCCGCTTCCTGGCTCTGGCGGGGCAGGAAGTTGGGGCGTTTTTCCGGAGGCCCCCGCCCCGCCGCCCCGCCGCCCCTCCCCGCTTCCTGCCCGCGCCCCGCGCCCGCCCGGCACCTCCGCTTCCTTCCCCTTCTCGCCGCCAGCCGGGCCCCTCCTTCCCCCGCTCGGCGGGGGACCAGCCGGCCCCGGCCCCGGCCCCGGCCCCGCCCCGGCCCCGCCCGGCTCCTCCCGGCTTTGTCAGTCTGTCTGTCCGCGGGTCGCGGGCTCCACGCTTCTCGCCTCCACCGGGTGTCCACTATCGCCTCCCCGGCGGGATGGGGACCGTCTCGCCGCAGCCTCCCCTGCTTTCCGTTTGGGTCTCTTGGTCTTCCTCTCTTTCTTTGCCTCGCTGTGCCTGTTTCTGTCCGCGTCCCTCTCTGTCTGCCCCTCTGGCTCTCCTTTCTCCGTGGGGGATCTTTTCCTCCCGCTCGCGGGCCCCTGCTTCTCCGCGCTGTCCCTCCCCTCTGTCGCATCTCTTGTCTTCCCCTCTCCCGGTCTCAGTATCTTTCTGCATGGCCACCTCAGTCATTTACCCAACCACTGCTTTCTCTAGAGTCCCAGGGGTGAGCCTCTCCGTGTCCATTTTTCTACAGACCTTTCTTTCCTTTCTGTCTCCTGCTTTCTCTCTGTCCCCCCCGATTCCCTGTCCCTTCATTGTCTTTCTCTTCACTTGCTCTGTCTCTCCATCACTATCTCTCTATGTCCATCTGTCTCTTCTCCCAGAAACCCTGCGTCCCTGTGCCCCTCACCCCAGTCCCCAGATGACAGCCCCAGATTCTCCCCAGATGTCCCTGCTGCAAGTCCATTCCCAGAAAAGAAAAGGTGTGGCCTGGCTGTAGTCTGCACGGGGTACCAGCCCCACCAGACAGGTGCCTGTGTTTGTGCGACTGAAATATGAATAAATAAATATGGTCACCTGCCTCCTGTGTCCCCTGCCTGCTCAGGGACCTAGCCTAGGGTGAGGCGCTTCTCCAAACACTTCTTCTTTCTGCCTGGTTACCTGGCCCCAGGTGTAGGGAGTGGGCATGGGTGGGGGTTGGGGGATCGGTGGGGGCAGGATCCTGAGTCTAAGAGAGAAGGGGCCCGAGGCCTGGACTCCAGGGTCCCACCAGAGGAGGGGAGCATCCCCATGAGATCCACGACTCCTGCCAAGGTCTGCGTAGGGAGGGATTTATTATCACTAAGTGGCCATGACAGAGCAGGGAGGGGGAGGGGACACTAACGAGGCTCAGCAATCAGGTCCCCTGGAGGCAGCGATTAAGGGCTCATTACCCGCTGGGTATGGGGGGGAGGCTGGGAAAAGCTGCAGGGGGAGGGCTGAATTGGGGTATGTGCAGGGGGATGAGGATAGTCTAGAAGGAAGAAGAGCAGACATGCTCAAGGGGGAAGTTGAGTCAGGACACTCCCGGGAAAGATGATGAAAAGAGAACCGGAGGGGGCGGGGAGGGGGACACCAGAGCTGGCAGCCCAGCCAGCCAGGGCAGCCCACAGGGTCAGGGCTTCTCCAGCTGGACGTCCCCATCTCCTATGTGGAGGCTGCCCACGTCCTGGTAGGTGCCCTGGAGGCCTCGGGAGATGTCCTCATACATGGAGCAGTCATCCAGGTTCAGGCCCTGGGGTGAACATGTGGTGGGGGGCCTCAGCGCCCTGATGCCCAGACCCTGCCCCCAGATGACCCCAGGGAGGACCCCCATGAGAACCCCAATGCACATGCCCCTTGCCTGTCCCCACCCACCGCTCACCTCATATAGGTTTTCATCTTCGTAGTCATCTGGGGCATCCATCCCAAACTTCATATTCTGCCATCGTTTCTGGGAGGGGGTCATTGGGAGCCTCAGTGAGGGGGTGTGGGGGGAGAATATGTTTTCCCGAATAACACTCCGGGGTGCCAAGAGGTGCTTTACCAGAGAGGGTAAGGACTGGGCCCAAAGCCACACAGCAGTTGAGTGGCAGGTGTCTCTGGGTCCCCGCCTTACTGCTTTTGCACAAATAACAACTGTCCTAGAAATGGCAGTGGCTGGACTGTCCACCTAAGGCAGGGTTGGAGCAATTCAGTGACTCCAGGAGGACAGTCAGCCCCCAGTCTTCCCTGGCCACATCTGAGGGCCCCTGCGCTCCTGGAGGGGGGGCGGCTAGAATGAGACACCATGGCTAGGGGGTGGGGGGCCAGAGTGAGGTACACCTGGGGGGGGTGTAATGAGGACAACCCTGCAAGGAGACCGAGCAAGGATGCGCCGCTGGGCCCCGCACCCTTTACAAATTCAGGTGTCCCTCAGTCCTGTGAGGGTGCTGTCACTCTCCCATTTTAGGGGGACCTCCACCTCAGCGGGCCCCAGTCCCTAGGGGCTCACCCTGAACAGCAGCAGGGTCCCAGGCACCACGGCGCAGAAGAGCAGGACAATGCCCTCGGCTGTGATGAGGTTGTTCTTGGTGGCTTCTCCCATGTCCAGGAAGGGTCTGGGGAGCCGCTCTGAGAGGAGGGGAGCTGCTCAGAGCACGAGGGCCTCCCACCCGCAACCCGCCAGGCATCCCAGCCCTGTCCCGGCAAGACAGAAACCACCGAAGCCCCCCACCTGCAGTGAGCATGAGTGGGAAGCAAGGATGCCCACAAGGGAAGGGGGCACCGGCTCCACCCCCACCGCTCAGGTGGGGCAGAGGTGGGGTGGGAGGGGGCCGGGGCGCCGCTGGCTGGCTCACCGCGCACGTGGATGTAGGTGCCGCAGGAGTACTGTTTGTTGACTTTCTGGTTGAGACCTTTCTCCTCCACCTGGCACCTGTACAGGCCTCTGTGGCTCTTGTTCGCGGCCTGGATGCTCAGCTCGCTGCGGGGGCCCTGGCCGTAGCTCCAGAACATGTCGGGCCAGGTGACATTGCCTTGGATGATGCGCCACCACGTGACGTTGAAGGTGCTGTCGCGGCTGCTGTGGTTGTACAGGCACGGGATGTGGACCTCCTCCCCTGGGCTCACGGTCACTGAGGGCGGGCCCTCGTCCACCCACAGGGCCTGGCACCTGGGGCCTGCAGAGACGCGGAAGCGTTGGGGATTGTGATGGGGACCCAGGCCCCAGCAGTGGCAGCAGCCCAGGGTACATGTGTGTGGGGGGGGTAGGAGGTTGAGGACACTCCCCGGGGAGAAGAGGGGGCTGGGGGAGGGGGCCCACGGTGCAGGGAGTGAGGTTGCCTCTGTAGGGAGAGTAGTACCAAGGGGAGCAGAGAGAGGGCACACCTGTGGAGGATGGGGACGAGGACACCCCTGTGGGTGCCCCCCCCCCCGCCTCTCCAGCGTGCCTCTTGCCACCCTCCCCACCTGTGCTCTGTGCTTTGGCCCCACTGAACTCACAGGCATTTGGATATTTGGCATCCTAGTGGCAGAAGTGCCCCTGTCCAGAATCCGTTTGGGCCTCACCGCCTCTTGGAGGCCTTCCAAGCTCACTTTCCCATCAGTCCCCAGCCCCACCTGACACCTGGCACTTTATCTGATATAATCTCACAAAAGCCTTAGAGGTAGGTTCTCTCATTAACCCATTTTATAGGTGGGACAGCTGAGGCCCAGGGAGGGCAAATTTGTTGTCTGGCATCATGAGGGCAGCAAGAGTGGTTGGTGTTTCAAACCCTGAGCCTTCGGGCCCCCCTTGCCCTGTGACCTCAGGCCCATCCCTCATTGCTTCTGTCAACCTGGGGGTTAGGAGTGACCTCAGCTGGCGGCTGGGCTGGGGGTTAGGGGAGGGCCTCAGCAAGGTGGTTGGCTGCTGAGGAAACCCCAGCTTCCAGTACCCCCCCCACCCCCGCGAAGGCCAGCCTCTTCTGGAAGGAGGAGGTGGGAGGTGAGGAAGAGAGGAGGAGGAATAGGTGGGGAGAGAGGCAGCAACCTCAGCTCCAGTGGTCACAGCCCCACCAGCTGGCATTGCGTGGGGTGGGGGTGGGGTGGGGGTGGGGCAGCCATCCGGGAGGGCAGCGTGGATGAGGCACCCCCTTCCCCAGCACTGAAAGGGGGCTCCCTATGCAGTGGGGTGACTGAGATTCAAGGCAGAGAAGGAGAAACCGGTTTCTTCTTTCTGAAGCTGAGCCCTACCCCCCAAGTCCCCTTCCTGCCCCAGGTCTGAAGCTCAGTCAAGGGCGACCTTAGTTCCTTATTTTGACCTGTGGGGTTGAGGGGGTGGGGAAGTCCTCTGTTGCCCCTGTCTCCTTCCATGTGGCTGTGGACGCCCCTTAAACTTTGCTGAACCCCCTCCGGCCTCCCCTCGTCCCTGCAGCCTGCCCAGGAAGGCTGCTTCAGAGGCTCTCCCAGCACCGCCCCCCACACCTGCTGGCTCCTCGCCCCCTGAGCAGGGCCTTTCTCTCTGCCTGAGCCCTCTCTCCAGCCTCCTCAGTCCTCCCCCCCCCCCCGCCCCCCCCCCCCCCCCCCCCCCCAGCACCAGCCTGTCAACCACGTACCCAGGCCAACAGCAGAGATTAGGAAGAAGAGCTCGATGGTGGCGCGCAGCACTTGGAGGACTCCGGGACCCCCAGGCATCTCTCCCAGTGGGTTGGTTGGTCTGGGCTGCAGCAGTCCTGGGGTACCAGATTCCACCTCCGCTGGCCCGAAACCCCGCCCTACTTCCTGCCCAGCCCTGCCGGAGATGAGCTCCAATGGCCCCGCTGCTGGGCCCTTCTGCTCTGGGCCCCTGGGGCAGCCCCTGCCCGTGAGCTGCAGGCCCCGGGTGGAGAGAAACTGCTCCCTGCACCTGTGGCCACAATTCCCCTGAGGGGAGGCTGTTGGGAGGGAGGGGAAAGAGCCCAGTCCTGGCAAGGAAGCCCCAGGGAGCCAGAGTTCGAGGTGCCCCTGCCTGCAGGCGGTCTGTCGGGGCGGTGGTTCTCAGCCTGCTCTCCGCTCCACACTGGCCTTAGGCAGAGCTCATGTCCTCTCTGAGCCTCTATGTCTTCACTTCTTGGTGTTGGAATCAGGATTTAAAGGGGTTGTGCGTGCAAAGTTCTGAACACACGGCCCAGCCCATAGTAGGTGCTCAGTAAAAGGTGGTTTGTATTAATGCTCAGGAGGAATAAATGAGCTCTACGACTAGGCGGTGGCTTCCTGTTCTGAGCCTTGGCATTAAAAAACATTTTTTTTTTAAATTTTAAAGTAAATCTCTACACAAACCGTGCGGCTCAAACTCACAACCCCAAGCCAAGTGTCACATGGTCTTCTGACCTGGCCAGCCTGGTGACCCAGCCTTGGCATTTTTAATCCGAGAGATGAGCACAAGTGTATCCCCCCAGTGTTGTGACCGGAGATGATGTTCCCAGCACCTGGGGAGTTAAAGTCACGACAGGATCTTGATGAGAGTCAGCCTCCCCACGATTGGGCAAGGTAGGCCACCCCTCCCCACCCCATTTTTACAGAGAAAATGGGCCCAGAGAGATGCCATCGCTTGCCCCGTGTAATACAGCTTGCGAGCAGGGGAGTAGAGATTCGAAGTCACTTATGCGTGCCCATGTGCCTCTGAGCATTATTTTAGGTCACGTGGAAGGAAACTGAGTCTGAGGAGTGGGGGTGGGGAATCACAGGCGATTGTTGAGATGTTTGTGAGCAGTTGGGGCACTGTCACATACCCACGCGAGGAGACACGGAGTCGGGGTAGTTAGCTCACGGAGATACTCAGTGGCAAAAACTGAAACAGAAAGTCTGTGTGCGGCAGAATGGGATGCGCACAGTGTGACATAGGCAACTAGCAGAGTAGCACTCAGCAGGGGGAAAGGCAGTGCTCCACTCGTCAACACACCTGTGTCTCAGAAATGAGGTGAAAAGGGCAAAAAACCATGTAGCGTGCAACAGTTGACTTGTTTTCAAAAGGCGAAACATCAGGTGCTGTTAGGGACACGTGGGTCTGTAGTTGAGGTGTGAACCCATGCAGGTGAGTGGCACCCAGTTCCTGAGAGGGGTTCCCTCTGGTGGAAGGGAAGAGGGCTGGGACTGGGAGGGGTACACAGACGACTTTGACTGTCTTGGCTTTAGGTCTTGTTTTACTCCTTAAGTTAGGCAGTGGAGGGGCGTCAGGGTGGCTCAGTGGGTTAAGCCTCTACCTTCAGCTCAGGTCATGATCTCAGGGTCCTGGGATAGAGCCCTGCATCGGGTTCTCTGCTCGGCAGGGAGACTGCTTCCCTCTCTCTTTGCCTACTTGCAATCTGTCAAATAAATAAAATCTTTAAAAGAAAAAAAGTTGGGCAGTGTGTCCACGGGTCTTTCTTACACACTAATAGGTATACTGTTTTGCATGCTCAAAGCACAATTAAAAAAAAAAAATGCAACTGTCACCCACACAGAGGAGCATGGGCCTCGAGTTCATGGTTCCTGTGTTTGACTCTCAGGACCTGTCAGCTGACTGGTTGCTTGGGCCTCAGTTTCTTCTCCGGTAATCTGGGCTCTCCTAAGCCCCCTTGCCCAGCCGTGAGAAAAGGAAACAGTTCCCCTTCTCTAGCCTGGGAGCCCTCCTCCCTTCCCGACCCTCTGGGGACCTAGGTGTTCTTCTGTGACCAGGGCTGTGTAGCAGGTTATCAGCCCCTCCACACTTTAGTTCCTCCTTATGGACACCCCCCCCCCCCATGCCCAGGAAGAACCCGCCGGCACAGATCCCGCAGCCCTACGAATTCCTCTCCTTTGGCGAGTCCATTTCCAGGCCCTCGACTGCCCCCCCGTGGCCAGAGGGACAGCTGCTGGATCGCAGCCCTCAGGCTCGGCGGGCCTATTGGGGACACCCACCTGCATCTCAGCCAGCACGTGGGCCTGGTGCCATGTGTGCCAACCAGGTACTGGACCTCGCTGCATTGCGTTCTTGCCTACTCCAGGACCTCTTTATCCTCAATTGACAATAAAGGAAACGAGCCCAGAACAGGGAGTGGCCCAAGGCCGTGCCCAGGCTCATAATCCCTTGGGTCTTGTGTTTCCACTTCCCTTACTTCCAAAGGGCAGTTTGTTACAATGGTTAGAGCCTGGTTGCCCGAGTTCAAGTTCCAGCTTTGCCACCCCTTTGCTGCGGTGCACAGCCGGATGACCCAACTTGTGAGTTGACTTTCCTTATGCCCCAAATGTGGGTGCTTTTGGCACCTTTGCAGGATTGCCTAGTCTGTTAAGTGTTCTACATACCTTGCCATGTGGCAGGCTGTTTAATCCGTATAAATCCATCAGCAGACTTCTGAGCTGGAACTGGGAGGGATGACAGCTTCATTTCCCGCCAGATGTGGGATTCTGTTTTTTCCATCCTCAACACCAAGTAACCAATGGGTCATGCGCTTGGTGTGCTGCTCTGAGCCAGGGCATGATCTATATGGGAACTACAGATCCCTCAGGAGTGATAAAGTGGAGGGCTCAGAGGAAGAATAAATTGCTCAGGATTGCACAGAATTAGGGTCAAAGCTGGAAGTCAAGTCTGAGTTCAAAGCCCAGACTTCACACTGGAAGTAAATGGATCCCAATAACCCCGGCTAGGGAAAATCGGGAGACGTTGGCCAAGCCAGCTCAGGCTCAGCATCTCAGTGTTCCCCAGGCAGGTGTGGGTTTGGTCACATTGGGCCACTTCTCCAGGTTCAGCTTTCTGGGGTCTGCTAGCACACGCCCACTTAGAGCCCTTCAAAGGTCCCACTCCACTCACACCAAGAGCCAATCGCCACACAGGACCCCAGAGGTGGTGCCACCTAAGGCCCAGCTCAACCTCTGTGCAGGAGCCCGGCACACCCCTCCCCTCAGACGGTGAAGGGTGTGGAAAGTGGCACCCCACTCCAACTCTGGGGAGAGATGAGCTCCAAAAGGTGCACGCCAAGAACACTCAACCACCAGAAGTGAAGGCTGGCTGTCCCAGTCTACCTCCTTCAGGGAAAAAGCCACCTGCCCCTCCTGCTTTGTTCCAGCAGTGGACAGAGTGCCACCTCTGCTGCCCAGGACCTAAGTGGGGCCTTCGCTTCAACAGCGACTCCTTTCAGTTTCTCATCTTACTGAGAACAGCAAAGGCAGGATGTGGGGGGAGGGGCAAGAGCCTCCAGGTCCCTCCAGCTGGGGCAGGAAGGCTGGGCTTCAGGCTTCAGTGGCTATTGATGCCACAGCCCCCCAGGGGGCACCCTGGGCTGCCCCTTTCACAAGGGAAGAAGTGAAGTTCAGGGGTCCTTCCTCGCGCCCCCCAGTGGAAGGGGAACAGCCAGCCGAGAGAGAGAAAGAGACCCAGACGAGGATTATGAATGAGGCAATTTATTAACCCAGCATTTGTTCTAATGCTTCTTGTTGGCAGCTGCCACCTGCGGGAAGAGATGGGAAAGTAATTAGGATCAGGCATGGGGTCTGTGTTCAGGCATTCTGGAGCAGCTCCCACTGCCCAAGGGACACCAAGCAAATGGGGTTGTGGCCTGAAGCATGTTCCCCGGGTCTGATCCCTACACCCTCAGGCACTTCCCCATTTTACGGAAGCACCAACTGGGACTCAAGGATAGGAAGTGGGATTCCAATGCCCACTGCCCTGTCACCCACACTGATGTCCATGCCAGGCTCTGCCCTGCCCTGGAAGAGTTCACCAGCTCCTTCCAGGCTGCCCCCGGATGCCCAGGGGGCCGACACCTATTCTTTTGCTCCTTGACTAAGTGGCTAAGCCCCCTTCAAAGCTCCTAGGAGGCCTGAGTCAATGATACATAAAGAAGAAAACCAACAATGGGTCCATGGCTGGTGCTGGGGGGCTCCCACCGTGGTAGCCCACTGAGCCCTCACTACCACCCCCTAGGGGTCTACGGGGCGGGGGGGGGGGAACATGACTGGCTCCGGGCAAATGGACTCTGCCCCAAGGTGTCCAGCCAACAGTCATCTGGACAGAGGCCGGAGTTCTGAGCTGGCCTGCCTCCCCCTCTCCACACCCGTCCCATCTGGTGCTCAGCAGGCAGGAATAGGAGGAAACAGCGCAGCCTCAATCCTAAGGCGGCAGACGTGGGCAGAGGCAGCTGTGGGGAACAGGTCCTGCTCGAGGAGCAAGCCCAGCTGCACCGCAGGCCTGGGGCCCCTTCACCCCAGCACCAGCATTTCCAACCGGCTCTAGCAGGAAAGCAGTCAGAATTTTCTCCTGCCCGCCCCCCTCCCCACCCTGGGCAGTGCCCTCCAGGGGAGGACAGTGACCTAACAAAGCTCAGGCTCTGAAGCTCCCTGTGCAGTGACTCAGGGACCCAGCCCTGGCCCAACCCCAGGCCTCACCTGTCCGGCGATTCTGTCCAGATCTCTCTGTCCCTGAGGTGTCAGTTTGCGGCCCCTGTGGGAGAAGAGTCATGCAGCGCCCCGTGAGCACAGGCTCTCAGCCCTGTCACTGCCAGGCCCCTCCTGGATGCGAGCCAGGCTTCCCAAGAAGGCACCGGGCCACGGGCCCACATGACACCAGCCAAGTCCCACTGAGGGCCCCAGTCAGCTGCATTCTAACGAGCTGGGGGCAGGAGCGGGAGCCCCCCTGGGAGCTGCCGGGGTGTCGTTTGTGCAAGCATTAGATCAAAAGCCCCGAAAAATCAATTGGGAAAAGTTAACGAGCAGGCTAATGAAAGTGGACAGTCGCTAAATTACCTTCCTGGAGCTCGGGGT